AAAGACACTAAAAACAAAACTATAAACCAATAGCTATCATGAATGTAGATGCAAGAATTCTCAATAAAATATTAGCAAATATAATCCAGCAATATATAAAAAGATCATATGCCATGACTAAGCAGGATTTATTCCAGAAATGCAAGGGTATTCTAACATTTGTACATCAATGTAATCCACCATATCATATAGGTTAAAGAAGAAAAAAATCCCACGATCATATTTATCGATGCAGAACAAGCATTTAACAGAATTCGATGTTCATTGATGATAAACACAGCAAATTAGGAATTGAGGGAAATTTTTTCAACTTTATGAAGAGCATCCACAAAATATCTACAGCTTACCTATCATACCTAATGATGAAAGAATGAATGCTTTCCCCCTTTAGACTGGGAAAAAAGGCAACGATGTCCACCCTCACTACTCTTATTCAGCATAGTACTGGAAGTTCTATCCAGTACGAGACCCAGATCAGAAAGAAAGAAGTAAAATGGTCCCTAATTGCAGATGACATTATTACATACATAGAAAATCTCAATGAATCTATAAAAAAAAAAAAGCCCTAGAACTAATAAGTGGGCTGAGTAACATCACAGGTACAAGGTCAATATACAAAAATCAGTCATATTTTTGTATACAGAGATATAATAAATCTAGAAAGGAACACACGGAAAATAAAATTGTAAACACAATACCATTTACAATCACTTCAAAACACTTGGAATACCTAGGTATAAATCTAACACAACATGTACAGGATCTATAAGATAAGAGTTACAAAGTGCGGATGAAAGAAATCAAGACCATCTAAAGAAATGGAGAGATATGCCTGGACTGGAAGATTCACCACAGCAAAGATGTTAATTCTCCTCAAATTGATCTATATCACAATTTCTATCAATCTCAGCAAGATATATGTAGGGCTAGACAAGCTTATTTTAAAATTTGAAAAAGAAGTATAAAGTGGTAGGAATCACTCTACCCAACATTAAGACTTATCATGTATGACATTAGTAATCGTATTAACACAGGGAAGTGGAGGTATAGCTATATGGAACAATGAAACAGAATAGAAAACTCAAATATACCAGCACAAATACACTTGACTAATTTTTGACAAAGGGATAAAGAAGTTCAATAGTGGAAAAATTGCCTTTTTAACAAATAGTGCAGAGCGATTGGACATCTGTAGACAAAAAAATTACATGAACCACAACCTAAAGAATACACCATACAAAAAAATTAATTCAGATGGATCATGAATTTAAATGTAAAATGTAAAACTATAAACTTTTAGGAGAAGCACTTCAGAATCTCGGGCTAAGCAGAGAGTTCTTAGATATAATACCCAAAATACAATCCAGAGAAGAAAGCATGGTAAATTGGACTTAATTGAAATAAAAAATTTGTGGGGCATCCTGGTGGTACAGTCAGTTAAGCATCTGACTTCGGCTCAGGTCATGATCTCACAGTTTGTGAGTTCCAACCCTGCATCGGGCTCTGTGCTGACATCTCAGAGCCTAGATCCTGCTTCACGTTCGGATTCTGTGTCTCCCTCTCTTTCTCTCTGCCCCTCCCCAGCTTGTGCTCTCCCTCTCTCTCTCTCAAAAATAAATACATAAATAAACTTTTTAAAAAATTGAAAACTTTTGTGATATGGAAAACCCTTATAAGAGGATAAAAACACAAGCTACAAACTGGAAGAAAATATTTGCAAACCACATATCCAGCAAAGATCTTAAATTTGGAATATTAAAGAATTCTCAAAACTCAGATTTAAAAAAAAATCATCCAGGGGTGCCTGAGTGGCTCAGTTGGTTGAGCATCCAGCTTTGGCTCAGGTCGTGATCTCACGGTTTGTGAGTTCGAGCCCCACATCGGGCTCTGTGCTGACAGCTCGGAGCCTGGAGCCTGCTTTGGATTCTGTGTCTCCCTCTCCCTCTGCCTCTCCCCCACTTGGGTTCTGTCCCTCTCTGTCTCTCTCTCTCTCAAAAATAAATAAAATGTGGGAAAAAAAAACTGTTGAAAAGCTGAAACCTTTAAATAGTGATAGTAACAAGAGTGAGGATGTGAAGCGATTGGAACTCTCATGCATTGTTGATGGAAATGTCAAATGGTACGTTCCCTCTAGATAATTGTTTAGTAGCTACTTATAAGAACTAACAAGTCTTACTTACTGTTTGAATCCACAATTTCCCTTAGACATTATCCCAAAGAAATGGGAACTTATATTTACATATAAACCTGTAAGGGGCACCTGGGTGGCTCAGTCGGTTAAGCATCTGACTTCAGCCCAGGTCATGATCTCATGGTTCATGGGGTTGAGCCCCACATCAGGCTCTCCGTTGTTAGCACAGAGCCTGCTTTAGATCCTCTGTTCCCCCCTCTCTCTGCCCCATCCCTGCTGGTTCTCTCTCTCTCTCTGTCTCTCACTCAAAATAAATAAACTTTTTTTTAACCTGTACATTAACAAACATTCATAGCAGCTTTATACATAATAGCCAAAAACCAAAAACACATACTGAGTGTCTTTCAATAGGTAAATGGCTAAAGAAACCTGGCACTTCTATGCAATTAAGTACTACTCAGTAACAAAAAAGAAAGGAACTATTGATATATGTAACAACCTGAATGGATCTCAAGGACATTTGGCCTAGTGAAAAAAGCCAATCTCATAAGGTTACATACTATATGATTCCTTACATGTAACATTCTCGAAAAGACAAAACTATGAAGATGGAGAACAGATTAGTGGTTGCCAGGGGATAGGAATGAATATAGGACTTAAGAACTCTAAGGGAATACCCAAGAGAGCTCCTTTGTGTTGATAAAACAGATCCCTCTGTTGATTGGGTGATAGCTAACATAAGTCTGTATTTGGGATAAAACCACATAGAACTATACACACAGACATAAACACAAATCAATGCTTGTGAAATTTGTGAAAACTGAATAAGATCTGTTTATATTTTACCAGGGTTAATTTTCTGATTTTGATATTGTGCTGAAGTTATATAAATTATATATTGCAGGAAGCTGAGTGAAGGGGACAAAGGACTCTACTATTTTTGCAACCTTTGATAAATGATTTCAAAAGAAAACTTTTTTTTTTTTTAATTTTTTTTTCAACGTTTATTTATTTTTGGGACAGAGAGAGACAGAGCATGAACGGGGGAGGGGCAGAGAGAGAGGGAGACACAGAATCAGAAACAGGCTCCAGGCTCTGAGCCATCAGCCCAGAGCCCGACGCGGGGCTCGAACTCACGGACCGCAAGATCGTGACCTGGCTGAAGTCGGATGCTTAACCGACTGCGCCACCCAGGCGCCCCAAAAGAAAACTTTTTAAAAAGTTCTTTTTTAAAAAATAGTTTGACTAGATTATGAAACAGTTAAGTAGGGCAATGTATTAATGTATTTCTACAATGAACTTACTTGCATTTATGTTATCCCAAATCTTTCCAGAGCTGACATTAATAGTTCTGTTCCAGTAAGAAAATGGAAATAAGTCAAGCATGATATTTGGAATAATGTAGAATGAACACAGGAAAAAAGTTTTCACTAGATGATCCCAATAATAATACTATGATATTAGTAATTATATTAGAAAAATGGAAGTATAAGTGATTCTTTTTTCTTCCTTTTTTAAAGAAATATGGGTAAATTATTTTATAATAAAAGGAAATGTTAACTACACAGAGGAGATTTCCTATGTCAGGCATTATGTTAGGCTTGTTACATTATCTGATTTGTTCCTTGCAAACAAAAACTTTAGATATATGTTATTGGTATTGCTGTTGTACAGAGAAAACAGGATATCTGAAAACTTAGGTTGTTAGTCTGAGCTTTACTAATCCTAGTAATTAATAAACTGAAGACTTGGCATCTGAGCTTCAGAGCCCAGTGCTCTTCTTTCTACTATTTAACGCTCATATGGAGAGAGTTTATGATAGTGTTAAGTTAGGAAAAACCATATAAAATGTATGATTATCACAACTGCAAAAAACTGTGTGCATTTAAATGACAATAGCCAGGGTATTAGGGAAATGGGATTATGGGATATTTTCCTTTAAAAATTTTTAATGTTATTACATTGTTATTTCAATTAAAATGTTTTGCAATTCTAATTTTAAATATTAATTTTTTTTCATGCAAAGTACTTTCATATTTCCCCTCTCTATATATTTACCTTGAAATAAGACAGGTTAGCTATAAGAAATGACCACAGGGGCACCTGGGTGGCTCAGTGAGTTAAGTGTCCGATTTCGGTTCAGGTCATGATCTCTCAATTCGTGAATTCGAGCCCCACGTCAGGCTCTGTGCTGACAGCTCAGAGCCCAGAGCCTGTTTTGGATTCTGTGTCTCCCTCTCTCTCTGTCCCTACCCCACTCATGCTTTCTGTCTCTCTGTTTCTCTCTTAAAAATATATAAACATTAAAAAAAAATTAATGACCACAAAATGAGATATAGATATGAAATCAAGGACCTCTAAATACTGCAGAGTACTGTGAATAATTATATTTTTAATGCCTTAGTCACCTGTTGTTTTGTGCCCTTGGACAGGCTTTGTTTGGGTTAAGATGTTTTCTTTGTGAGCTAATATATTTTTTAAGGAAATTTTGTCTAAATGAAATTCAGATTTTTAAAAAATCCTGGTGCTTTTCAGTTCCTTAATTACTGAGGAGTTATATAGTATACTAGGTTACTAAGCATCCAAGAAATTTGTGGTAAAAAAACTTGAATGAGGAAAAACAACTTAGTAGATAGGATTCTGTCACTGTTTATTCCAGTGAACAGTCATACTTTGAAGTATGCTTACTTACGTGCTTCATCAGATAACTATAATTACCTGACAAAGTTCAAATAGAATTGTAATCATTAAGTCAGAAAGCATTATATGACAGATATTTTCATGCTATCCAGGAATCACTTCTGCAATGGCAGTTCTGTGTGCTTTGAGAAAGATTTTCTAACTTTTAGAAGCCTTTTCTGTCACTCAGCCTGGGCAGCCTGATCCTATAGAAATTCAGAGACAGCAACAGGCTAAGAGGAGGGCTCTTGCCAAAAAACGAGCTCAAGAACAGTTCAGACCACGAACACCCGAGCCCGTGGAAGGCAGAAAGCACGTGGATGTGCAGACAGGTATGTGACCATGCCATTGGCATCATGCCTCCTTGGTTTGCCCAGTTTTCTAAGCCCGTTCATTTTTATTTGGCTTTTCCATTATTTACATATCTGTTATGCTATAAAGTACTGCTCCGATCACATGGTAGTAGGAGTCCATTCATTAAACAGATTCATAGACTATGTTATTACATCGGGTATGAGATGGGGTTAGAAAAGAATTTGACGACCAAATTAATTCTGTCTTAGCCCTTTTCACATACTCGTTTCCCGAACTGTGATTATTTCTCCCTTTTTCTTTTTATTTTTTTTATTTTTTTTTTATTTTTAAATTTTTTTTTTTTCAACGTTTATTTATTTTTGGGACAGAGAGAGATAGAGCATGAACGGGGGAGGGGCAGAGAGAGAGGGAGACACAGAACCGGAAACAGGCTCCAGGCTCTGAGCCATCAGCCCACGGACCGTGAGATCGTGACCTGGCTGAAGTCGGACGCTTAACCGACTGCGCCACCCAGGCGCCCCTCCCTTTTTCTTTTTATAGCCCAACATGAATCACAGCTGGGACCTACAGGAGGAGAGAGCAGGGTAGTTCCATCTTGGCACTTTGTCTGTCTTTTAAAAGGAGTGAACTCATCCAGATCTGAGTCCTCCAACTCTCTCACCCCTGCCTTTTCTGTTCTCTGCTTTTAATCTCCTCTCACTGCGCATATTCCCCCGGGCCACACAAGCTCTGCTGGGCCAGTGCCAGGCTTTCTTGCTTGTCTGCCGGTTCTGAGCTAGGGAGGCTTACCTGGACCTAGAGGTCCCAGCTGTGTTGTTGTCAGAATCTTGGTAATCAGACAATACTTGGTGTTTTCCTTGGACTGATGTAACTATTAAGGATTCACCTTGGGGTGCCTGGGTTGCTCAGTTGGTTGAGCGTCCGACTTTGGCTCAGGTCATGATCTCGTGATCTGAGTTCGAGCCCCACGTTGGGCTGTGTGCTGACAGCTCAGAGCCTGGAGCCTGCTTCGGATTCTGTGTCTCCTTCTCTGTCTGCCCCTCGCCTGTTCATGCTCTGTCTCTCTCTGTCTCAAAAATAAGTAAAAACATTAAAAAAAAAAAAAAAAAAAGGATTCACCTTTCACCTTGTCAAGATGATGAGTGGCTTCATCAGTTATTTCTGGGTAGTTAGGGCAAATGGAAGAGAACTATTTCATGCCTTTTCCCCCTACCCTGGGGCCAAGTCTAGAATGAGGATATGTCTGTAATTAGGCAATATAGTTGTAAATCTGTAAGAGCTAAATTTTAGTGTTTCTTTATACCAGCAGAATATTAAATGATACAGGAGCAACTACTTTGTGTTGAGTTTTCCTACATCTCAGAAACTATTCCAGTCCTCTACGTGTATCTCCTTTCTTTATTATTAGAAGGACTCCTTGTGATGGTAATTATGATCCCTTTTACAGATAAAGAAACTAAGGCTCTAAGAAGATGTAACTTGACTAGGTCCTATGTTCAACATCTGACTCCAGTTCTCATGTTCTTTGCATGATAACCACGCTGACCTTGCCTCACATAAATTATTCCTAAGGTGAAATCTGTTTTCATAAGCCTGCTTATAATCTATAGCCTAGAGGGAACATCAGGTAACATAGTGACATGGTGCATAATTTTTTAAATATCCAGGAATTTTCAAATCTTTACACATTTACTATCTTAGAACTCAGTTATATAGGTGGATTATTAACTTTTCATCCCCAATTATACTTTGCATCTTACAAACATCTAGGCCTCATGTTCTCCTTTAGTTCTGTTTTCAAGTACAAAGCTCAGTGCTTTCTCAACATTCAATAAATGTCCTAGCCTGACTAGCCCTTGGGTCTTCCAAATACATAAAAATGCTTAGTACAATATGTGAATTTCACCCCACATTTGAGCACTTCGTTTCTGATCCATTTAATTCTGTTTTGAAGGAGCTAAAGTTTCAATACACATATATGCCTAAAAGAGACCAGAATTTCAAACTCAATGCGTATGGTATTCTCTTAGAAATGTACCTTGAAGAAATTGCTGACCGTATAATAGAAGTTGATGTGGAATGCCAAACAGATGCATTTTTGGACAGACCACCAACACCACTCTTTATTCCTGCCAAAACTGGCAAAGATGTGGCCACCCAAATACTAGAAGGAGAGGTACAGTACTTTATCTGGACTTCCCTCTATCTTCTTTATAAACAGGTTAAGTTAGGTTTAGTTAAAAGCTTACAAACCACTTCATAATCAGAAAGATTCTACTTATTGGATTTCTTTCCAACTGTACTTATAATAGTTTTATCCTGAAATAGCATATTCTGATTTCTCCTCTTTGCAGATCAGAAATAAAAATCATTAGAAATATTTTTAGAATGTCTGCACTTTGATTTTTGTGTGTTCGCATACTTGATTAATGTCTGAATACAAGGTAAATTTGTACCACATAAAGAAAAATAGCCTCTCTGGTATAAGATACTGGTATAAGAGGTCCACTGTTAGCTGCTTATAAATTATATAATTTTCATTAAGATAATCTCCCTATGTTAGAAAAAAACTAAAATAATTTCATCTTCATATCAATGTAGAATACATAAATAAGCCAGTTTATGAAATGGAAGAAGAGAAGCCATGCTTATGTGCATAATGACTTGGGTGAGATTTAAGACTTGAAGGAACTTGAAAGAACTTCCATTGAAATTGAGAAATAAAATAAGTCTTCACAAACTACATCCAAGGGTATAGCTGCCTCTAAACCCTGGAGAAGAACCACCAAAATGCCCTTTATTCTTGTTCCTTAGTTCTTCAAAGTGTTAGTGAAAACAAACCAGTAAAAATTGAGTCGAAAGGGCAAAAACTGAGAAATACAAGGATATTTCTTTCAGGTTTCAGAGTCTGCTCTTAAAATTATTGAGTATCAGGGTTCATTTTGATGGCTCTGTAGGTCTTTATATAATTTGGACTCAAAATGATTTTTGCCTGTAAATGAAATGCTTATTGTGTGTGCCCTGTGGGGCTGTGTTGAGTGTTGGAAACCATTAAGTAAAGCACCATCACAGCATCTATAGCACACACAAGATCCTCAATAAACAGTATCCTGTCATGACTACTTTTCTGGATGTTGTTTCTTTCAGCATTTGGTTCATGACTCAGATTTTAAATTTGCTTTGTTTTGTGTGTTTAAGCTCTTTGACTTTGATCTTGAAGTTAAACCAATGTTAGAAGTTCTGGTGGGAAAGACCATTGAGCAGTCTCTTTTGGAAGTAATGGAAGAAGAAGAGTTGGCTAACCTGCGGGCCAGTCAGTATGCGTATGAAGAGTTACGCAACGTCGAACTTGCTGAAGTCCAGCGACTTGCAGAGCAAGAGAAACGACACAGAGAGGAAAAAGTATAGAACTCTAGTTTTCTTTCTTAGACAGTCTTTGGATATTTAACAGATCATGTTCTGAATCACACGTAGTATGTCATAGAGCTAGAGATCTTTGCAAATATGTTAGAAAAGAGTTTGTTGCTCAGTTATCTCCTATAGATCACAGAACTTTTACACACAGAAGCACATTCTTTAATACCAGCTTACGTATATGTACCTAGAGTTCCCAAAAGTTTCTAAATGTAATTTTAATTACATTTGTAATTACATTTAATTTCATTTGTAATCACATATGTCCTGACTGAAAGGCAGTCTTACATATCAAGATTCCTAGCAAAGGAAATGTATTGGTTTTTCCATAATCAGTGGCAGAAAAGTAGAAGGGAAAAGTGGACTAGATTGGGGATGGGTGTGGTGGAGAAGCAGAGGATCCAGACAGAATTCTGGGTCTTTTTTCTCAGTGGCCAGACCCTTCTCTATACCCTAGGGATTCTCCAGAACTTCTTTGCATAATATTGCTTCACATTACAAATTTTTAGAACTTTTAATAAGAAAAGTTCTAGGATCTAGTTTTTAAAATATGCCAATAACCTTCAATTAGGAAATGATAGGCTCAGTCATCTTTTAAGACTTTTTCTGGGTCTGGTAATAATTGTCACCCTCTGTTGGACACCGAATGTATAAATTATGTAGGAGTGACTGAATACCTAAAAGAGTTCAAACAATTTCCCAAAGAGTCTCACTCACAGCACAGAATAGCTTAGTTGTTGGGATATTCTGCTCAATACCTAATTAAATTGACTTTTAGTTTTTCTCCAAAATGAATAATTAATTGCATAAAGGGCATAAGGCTTATGGTAGAGATTATGCAAATGAAGACCATTTGTTTACAAATGTAAAATGATCAGTGGCAGTATTAGCTTTATTGAAATAATCAGTGAAATGCTCATCAAAGGAAACTTCTTGTTTATTTGCTATTAGGAAATATACTGTGAAAACAATGAAGAATACAAATCGTCTAAATTTATATTTACTTAAATTCTGAAAATAGACTTAATAAGAAACTACGTTAATTTTCCCACTTCCACATGGGAGCAGAGAAGATGGTTCATTAGCTCTATAGATATCCTATGGTCTACAAAAAGCAACAACAAAAAAAGGTTTATAATTTTCAGAATTTTATGAATTCAAAGAATCATTACAAATGACACAACTCATTGGCCCAGGTACTTTAAATGAAGATATCTGAGCAACTATAATTTTCATATTGGTAGTTTATTATAATACTAGTTGCTAATATAGTTATATATTATTCTTTGCTAACACCCATACGGTCAACCGTGCACATGTTGAAATTCTTTTGCTTAAAAATGGATCAGCAGATGAATTTCACCTGAAGCTCCATCCCTTGTTTGACTTCTTTGAAATTCTCTAAAACCTTCATGCACCATTAACGGATTCCTCCCTGTCCACGTTTTGATCCAAATCCGCGTCCAGATTCTTGCCCTCAGCACACGCGGCGCTGGGGGAGCACGGCGCGGCTGAGTAACCGTGTGCGGGCGTGTCTTGTGCGTGCAGGAGCGCCGGAAGCAACAGCAGTGGGAGGTGGTGTACAAACACAGCGAGACGGCGCAGAAAGTGGCGGCGCGCGTGTTCGCCCAGCGGTACCTGGCCGACCTGCTCCCCTCGGTGTTCGACAGCCTCCGGGACGGCGGCTACTTCTACGACCCCGTTGAAAGAGGTTTGTGGGGGTGTTGTCAGGTCACTCTGCTACTGTCCGCTTCCTCTGAATGCTTCCAAGTAATCCCGTGCCCGTGTCCGTTCGGAATTGGAATCTATCTTTGAAACCAACTCTGAAAGTCAATTCGAGTCGTGTTAAGTTGGTACTATTACTAATGAGAGGTATGCTAGAAAGACCTGGACTTGTCTTTTGCTGAGAAGCAGCACTGGGCAGTAGGAAGAACTAGGACCTGATGTCAAAAACTTGAGTGCGGGCCCCAGTTGCATCCTCGGTCAGCTGTATGACCTTCAATTTCCTCATGGGTGAAATGAGGATTATTTAGGAGCTAAATGTCAAAATATGTGTGGAACACGATGTGTATAAAATATGTGTGTACGTACTTGTAACTTTTTCTCAGCTGACTCCCTGTTCTGCTCAAAAACCCTTAAAGTCTTCATTCGCTTAGGTGTGGACACCATCCCAGGGCCTGTATTAGGTGTGGGAGATAAAAACAAGGAGACCTGTCTCTGAGCTTAGAGAATTGCACCTGTCAGCTCTCTGTCCACCCTCTGAGCCCCACCCCTCAGCTAGTCAGGCCAAATGAACAGTTTCTCAGAGCTGCGCTCCTTCCTCACGTTCAGAAGCATTTAATTCACAAAATGTGTACAGGTCCTATTTCAAATGGCTAATAGTATTTGGGGGCAGAGTTCAGTAATATTAATTTTCACTGGTTACAGATTCAATTCAGTACACATGCATAAGGGGTCAGATTACAGACAAATATTATTAGTTTATATTGTACTTTACCATTTCTGTAGTATTTTTTATACATGATAGCATTGATACCAGTAACCCTGGGGGGTAGATAGAGCAGATCAATTCCCATTTTTCAGAAGTAGAAACTGAAGCCCAGAGAAGTTAAATACCTTCTCCCAGACAGGCAGGGAAGCCATTAGGCCTGGGACTCTGACCCCAGGTCCAGTGCTCTTCCTGTGCTTCATTGCCGCCTCCTTGGGGTCTAGCTAGACTGCTGTTAGCCACACAGAGTCTGGTAACCTTTTTTCCCCTCGTGAATTGCTTAAAAAAAAAAAAAAAGTCACAGATCATTGAGAAGCTTGCAAATGAGATTCATGCCTCAGATTAAAAAATTATTTATAGTAGTGAATATAATATTCTATTATACTCTCTATTGTCACCCCATTGAAAAGTAACAGATGCTACCCCCTCCCCCAAAAAGCTATTTTGAAACATTAAAATGTATATTGTAATGGATCATATTTTTTAAAAGGCTTACACAGTAGATTTCCATTTCAGTTTGAACAAATTTATCACTAATGGAAGCACCTAGTTTCTGACCCATTTCTAGATGGCCTTGTTCTCAGATACTCTCTGACCCTTGGTCAGCTCCTCATGGGCTCCGGGCTTCAGATGGGAGCATTCTCTTTATCATCTTGGTTCAGTCCCACATTTGTATTGCATTTGGATTGGAGTTCTGCTCCCAGACCCACATCTTCCTCCCCACTCCTGAACCCACCCCCTCATCTACCTCAGATTGTACCTGTGCAGTCAGCTCCAAAGGCTTGGACTCCAAGGAAGGCTTCATAGTTTTGAAAATACTGTTTTTACTGCAATAGAAAGGAAATGGACCAAAACATACAGAGAGAATGTGGCAAAATTAATGCTGTATAAGTCTATTTGATATTTTAAGTATTAAGAAAACAGTGGGGGGGGGGCGGGGGTTGTGCTGGGTGGCTCAGTGAGTTAAGCCTCCAGCTCTTGATTTTGGCTCAGGTTATGATCTTGAAGTTTGTGAGATCGAGCCCATGTCAGGCTGCACACTGACAGTGCGGAGCCTGCTTGGGATTCTCTCTCTCTGCTCCTCCCCTGTTCTCACGTCTTCTCTCTCTCTCTCTCTCTCTCTCTCTCAAAATAAATAACCTTAAGATAAATAAGTAAATAGAACTGTGTTAATAAGCCTTCAACATTAGGGGGAAAGCACAGATTCTTCCTATCTATAATGATTCATAAAAATCATTATAGTGAAATTATAATGAATTTCATTTTAACAAAATTAACTTTTTTTAATTACAGATATTGAAATAGGATTCCTTCCATGGCTAATGAATGAAGTTGACAAAACCATGGAATACAGTATGGTGGGAAGAACAGTGCTTGACAGTAAGTTGTTTTATTTTATGTAAAAGTCATTTCTGAGGCTCCTGGCTGGCTCAGTCAGTAGAGCATGCAACTCTTGATCTCGGGGTTGTAAGCTCAAGTCCTGTGTTGGGTGTAGAGATTACTTAAAAAAAATTTTTTTTTTAAAGAAAAGTCATTTCTGAAATGTTCCAGTAGAAAGAATGAATAGGAGAAAGATGTTAAATTTTATAGTTTTAGTTTTTAAAGTTTCATGATATCAATTGTATTAACAAAGGCGCATATTTTTACCCTCAATAATACTTTTGGTTGTTGTATAATTTGGTCAGAATCAATATCTTCTGTCATTACTTTATAAATGATATTCTGGTAAAACACGCATTGAATGTAATTCATATTCAGTGCGTTAAGTGGCACAGAAGTTAAATGTGCCAATATCATATAAAAGGTTACAATACAGGGAAAGGGATGAGGCCTGGTGAGTGCTTTATAGTCCTCTGTAAGTCAGCATTATAACTACCCAAATCCAAACAGTCAGTGATTTTTCCACATAAAATTTTTCAGTGTTGATTCGTGAGGTGGTTGAGAAGAGACTGGCTGCGTATGAGCAGAGGGACGACCAGCCCCCGGCCAGGAAGCCTAAGGACGAGCTCGGGGGGTCCGGGAGGACGACAGAACCACCAGTGGGTTATGAACTCCAGGAACAAAGCACAGCACAGCCACAGAGGCCACTTCTGGGAAGAGACTCCCTGCAAAGAACACCAGATGATGGAAGGTATATGGAGAGTGTGTTAGCCCAAGAAACGAAGCTTATGGAAGAAGGAGAGTATGAGCAAATAAAAATAAGGAAAACCTCGGGGACAGAAGTGCTACAACCAAGGGGAGACTTCCAGCCATGAAACCAATCAACAGCCAGTCAGCATTGCAAGCAATCAGGTAATGGTGCGCAGGCCCCCTCAGGTTATGGAAATTATGTTGCATTTACTCAACATGTCTTTTTGTCTACTGGATTGGACAAATCAAATATGTTGAAATAATAAAACTAATTGAAATGAAACTTAATTCATTTATTTACTGGTAGACTATCTAGAAGCTATACTGTAACTCTAATGAGAATCATGTGTATTACAAACTTTACCGCTAATATAACTAACAAATATATTTTCCCTTAATTTTTCTAATTTTGTGGGTTAGTTTTTTTTTTTTTTTTTTTTTTTTTAGTATCATATTTCATGTTAGATATCAGTGCTGTCAGCCAGTAAGCCTTTTTCTTCTTTATGGGAAAACCATTTAACCTCCTCCATGCAAGAATACCTAACTGTTGTGTCACTGAAAGCTGTAGTGCCCCCTCCTGGCAAGGACAAGAAATCTACCCTTATTTGTGTCAAACTAAATAGATGGTTGGTTACCCCTTCCATCTGCAATATTCAGGTAAAGCCCAAGAGTCTACAAATTGGTAATATGCGCTTGTCCATTTTTTTCACATTTCTATTAAAAAAATTCAAACAATACCAATGAAGCTAAAGTCTCTACTTGCCCTTATGCAGTTCCACTCCCCTCCTCAGTATAATCATTGTTATCATTGTCATAATTAGGTGAGTACCTTCTAGGCCTTTTTCAAGATATACGTATACATTTAAAACCTAAAAATATAGGGGCTGACTTTTCTTTATATAAATGTATATGTATAGTTTGCATTTTTCACCTAACAATATATCATAGACCTTAAAGGTTAGTACATATAAATCTCTTTTTTAAATATGGTAAGATATTATATGTTATGACTATATTGTAGGGAATTCACATTTGACTTTTTAACCTAAACTTGTCTGAAGAGTTTACCTGGACTATTGAAAATCACAGATATTTTCTCTCTCAAGTCAGAGTAACCTTAAGCAGTCATTGAAGCCCTCTGAAGCTTTAGGTAGATACAGCCAATTTTCCTCGGAATATTTGTAGTGAGCTGTAGTGAGTTGAAATAACTTGCAGTTATTAACACATTACCTTAGTTTCTTTTGAAGATAGATACCAAAAGTGTATCCACATTTTAAAAATGGAGAAAGAACATTTTCCTCCATTTGTAAAAAGAACTGCACCGTATGTCTACATAGCATTATATGCTTTTCAAACCATTTTCCCATGTATTATACCACTTTATCATTTTAACCTCGTAGCAACCCTTCTGAGGTATGTGTGGCAATATTTTTATTTTCATTTTCAACAGTCTTATTAGTTAGGTCAGCCAGCAAACATTAACTGCATGCCTGCTGTCTATTGGGCCCTGTGTAGGAGACTGCCAGTAACAGCCTAGCAGTGGGGCTAAATAAAGTAGGGGTATAAATAAGGAAACCACAGCTCAGGGATTTTAGGTGATTTGCCATGAGTCACAAGCCTCGTAAGTAATGGGATGGAAGCTAGAACATAAATCTTCCTTCTAATCTACTGTGCTTTCTTGTAAACAACCTTGAGCCCTTGTGAGATACAGAGAATAACTTTAAATAAATTATTGCATCAGCAGCATTTTTAAAAATTGGAATCACACCTGTTACCATTGCTAGGTTATTCCATCTTGTTAAAGTCTCTATGAGCGTCCTAAAGTATACAAGATATTAATTTTGGAAAGAACAACAAGGCATTTTTTTTATTGGGATCACTGTGAATCATTATTATTGATTTTAAAAACCTACAGTTTTAAAAATGCTTTCAAAATGGATTGGAGGTTGATTATCATCTACAATTCTAATCCTCTTTTACAGTAACCTATTCCATTAAACACTTTGCAGATGTTCCATTAAACATCCAGACTTGTGCTCTATAATTCCATGAATTCAGTTTATTAAATATATGAAAATCTGTAGACTCCACACTGAAATCAGTTAAGTTTAACTGCCATCCTATTAGATGCTACAGAGAAACAAAAATGATTAAGAGGTTAGGTGACTGTCCCTGTGAGAAAACTTAGAGAAACAGGTTATATATTATCTGGAGAAAAATTATTGAATGGAAACTTTAAATTGGCTTTGCCTACATGTGCTAATACTCTTCTTATGAGTTCTTTTCCTTTCCATCATTTCTACTAACACTAAGCGAACAGATGCTAAATAGTAATAAAATGCATGTTATGTAATAAATTTATAGAGACTGTCATCCCTGACAGTGATAAATTCCCACATCACTAAAATAGGGCAGAGAGTTCAAAGTAGTTTCCTCCAGTGTAGGCGTCATGGTGTTCAAGTCATTCTGACTTCTCTTGAGCTGAGGGGTGTTGGCACGGCCTGGGAAGCCCCTCAGGGCAGCTCAGGGCAGTGACTGGAAGCCTGGATACCGGAGCCAGACCGCCTGGGCTTGCTTTCTGTCCTGCAAGAATACAGTCTTCACCACACATTAGGTGGTTTGCCTTTGTTATTAGGAAAAAGAACCGACTTATCAGTCATGTCCTATTTCTGAAATATGGCAGGGTGGGAAACCTGCAGAAGGAAAAACTATTTGGAGACTATAATTCCTTTGAAAGTCATAACGGGGATGGGACAAGTGGCATTTTCATGTCATATCAAAATGTTATGGTACCATAACCATCAAAATGTTAATGATCCCCATTTCTTCTCTCCTAGAAGGCTTTCATTTTCTTATCATGGTGTTAAAACATATCAACCACAACAGCTACATTTTTTAAATCTATAATCTTATTTTCATGTGCTTCACTTACTATGAAAAATTTGGCACATTCTGCTTTTCTATTTTGTTTATAAGTGAATTACAGAAAGTATTTATATACATCCTATAGCTTAATAGCTGTAGCCATTTATCTTAATTTATTTAGCCTAAAGGCATTCTGGAGAGGTCCAAAACAGGGATTTAATTTCCCCACAGACCAGTTAGCACCTATTGTTTCTTAGCCATAGTTCCCAGGTCTAACCAGAACCAGCCTTCTCCTGACAAGCACAGGAGAAGCACATCAAAAGCACAAACAAGGATGTTGCAAATCAGGTTTTTATCACTATGATAAAAAATACTGTTAGTGATATTGGATTGGTGTCTGTAATTCTCCCTTTGAATTGAAGGATATTTACCTTTGGGTGTTAGTGATATCAACTTACAGATTAAAATTTAATGAATTGATAGCTTAGATGATGTTTTTGTTTTTCATAAACCATGAGAATAGTATAACTGAAATATGTGAGAAGATACAGTGATGACACTATAATTTTGCTTATAAGTAAAATCTATGAAATATTGAAGATAATTTCAGGATAAAAGTATCTTGAAGATAACATTTAAACAATTTTAAATCTTTTTTTTTAACGTTTATTTATTTTTGAGAGAGAGAGACAGAGACAGAGCATGAGCAGGAGAGGGGCAGAGAGAGAGGGAAACACAGATCTGAAGCAGGTTCCAGGCTCTGAGCTGTCAGCACAGAGCCTGATGCAGGGCTCAAACTCACTAACTGCGAGACCATGACCTAAGCTGAAATCGGACGCTTAACCGACTGAGCCAACCAGGTGTCCCGAGCAATTTTACATCTTTTGAGAAGAGTTCAAAGCATGAATAAATTTTTATCGCTATATGCATCAATAATTTTTGTAAATATCAAAGCATTTTTAAATAGTTTATTAGCTCTTTAAGTTTTATTTTTATTATTATTTGAGAGAGAGAGGGTGTGCAGAGAAGGGGCAGAGAAAGAGAGGGAGGGAGAAAATCCCAAGCCGACTCCACACTGTCAGCCACAGAGCCCAGCACGGGGCTCGAATCCACAAACCATGAGATCATGACCTGAGCCGAAACCAAGAGGCAGACACTTCACTAACTGAGCCACCCAGGCACCCCAGTATTAGAACATTTTTATTTGCACTACTGTATATATGGTCTTCTAACATTTTAGAGTATACTGATATCCATATTTACCACTAGGTGTCAGTAAAACTCTAAGGTAAAGTTAACTTGCCTCCAACTTCATACATGATGAGAACGAGACCTTGGTAGACAGAGTTCAAAAATACATTGTATTCCTTGGAGACACTAGACTCACAGTGAATTTTTTATCTTGCCCTAAATGGCAGCTGCCACTGCCAGCTCTGTAGAGGTGCCAGTGGACTTCAACCTGTATCTGAACCCTTAAAATGGTTGTTGTAGAGAGGACCTTAGCTGTCAGATACTCTAGTCTTCTATCCAATACAGTATGTTTAATAGTGCCCGGTTATCATGTTTAGTTTGGTCTCCCCAGGCCCAGGCTATGGTAAATAAATGTTTAGTCAATTACATTATTGGATAGTTCTCATTATCAGAAGTTTCTCTTATACTGAGTCAGAATCTGTTCCATTGTAACCTATGCTTTTTGGTCATAATCCTACCATTTGGCATGAGTATGGTTCAGGGAAACAGAACAATTTTATTACCATATTAGCCCTGTCCTATATACTCCAGTAACTTTTTCCTTTCTTCCAAGCTTTTCTTTCTCTGAATGAAATATCACCACTCTTCCCAATTATTCCTCATATGGCATAGTTTCAGAACTTACTCATTCTCCATCCTGGTTACTGTTATCTTGAAACTCCTATTTGTTCAACATCATCTTAAACATGTTTCCCAGAATTAGATATACAACAACGGATGTAATCTAACTCAGCAAGGAGTACTGTGGCATTAGGATCTCTCATGATTTGGACATCACCAACTCACTTGTAAATTCAGTTATCTAGAAACCTCATTCTTAAAACATAGAGAAAAAGTCAAAATGATTTCTAGGCAGTCACAATGTCACAAAAGTCCACACACTTTGCAGTGGGCCATCCAAAGCTTTTTAACGTATTGCTAACCAATTTGGCTATTTGATTATTAACTCCACAACATATTGGAAATAATATATTAACAAGGAAAAAGGGACTGCTGTGGGAAGACTCAT